CCCCAGCGCGCGAGCTGGCTGGCCTGCGGGCGGCCGCGCGCCAGGCCGTCTGCCGGGGTGGGCTGCGTGCCGCCGCCGAGGTGGTCTTCGGCGTGCTCAGTCCGAGCTGGCGCCTCGATCCTGCCGCGGTCGCCACCCTGGCTCCGCTGTGGCAGGTCGCCAAGGCGTTACGCCGCCGGCGCTTCCCGCTCGAGCTCTGGCGCGAGGTGGCGGGCGCCGTGGGCGCCGGGCACGGGAGGCAGCAGGGGCCCTTCGCTGCCGCCAGGCGCAGCATGGCAGACCTCGGCCTTGGCGACGACGTCACGCTCTGGCAGGGCGTCCCTTGGGCGCCGGGCGGCTGGCGGCCGCAGCACCGCCCGCTGCAGGACACTCAAGCGGCGCTGCTGGACGCCTGGTCGCGGCGTGAGGCCCGCGTGGTGGCTGGGCGGCGTGCCGACCTCGGGCATGTCGGCGGCGGAATCGACCGCTGGGCCACCCGCCGCTTGCTCGAGAACGAGGAGCTGGCGCCAGACGCGGCCGGCGCCCTCCGCGCGGTGCTCAGTGGCAACGTCGTCACGGAGACGGTGGCCGCGAAGTGGGGCCGGCCCGCGCGCTGCCCGCACTGCGGCGCCGCGGCAGAAACCAAGGAGCACCGCTTCTGGGAGTGCCCCCAGTGGGCAGCGGCTCGCCGCGCTGAGCTGCAGGCCGCAGGCCTGAGCCAGGAAGCCCTGCTCGCGCGCCTCCCAGCCGGCGTTCCGCTGACCGGGGTGCTGCCGCTGGACGCGCGCCTGGCCGCTTTGGCAGCGCAGGCCAAGCAGGAGCTGCCGCCGCCTCCGCTGCCGCCACCAGCGGTTGGCCCTGGGCAAGCACGGCTGCGGGCCTGGAGCGACGGCGCCTGCGAGCACCCCACAGACCCGCTTCTGGCTCGGGCAGGGTGGGGTCTCTGCTGGCGAGGGTCCGACGGTCTGCTACGGCGCCGCAACGGGCCTGTGGGCGGGTCCCAGACCGCGCAACGGGCCGAGCTCACCGCGGCGGTGCACGCGGTCAGCGCGGTCGGAGCACCCCTGGAGCTGGTCTCTGATTCGCGCTACGTGTGCCACGGGGTCGCGGCCTTGCGCGCCGGCGCCTCTCCCACCGAGTGGGCGCACGCGGACCTGTGGGAGCTGCTGAGGCCGCACTGCGAGAGCGGTTTCATCGAGGCGCGCTGGGTCAAGGGGCACCTCGACGCAGCCGCGGCGGCGGGTCGCGGGATCGCGCCCGAGGACCACGCTGGCAATGAGACCGCCGACCGCTTGGCGGGCGCCGCCGCGCGCGCCTGTTTGCCCGAGCGCGCGCTCTGCGACGGGCGGCAGGTGCAGCTGCGCGCGCTACGCTGCCTGCAGCGGTTGCTGGCCGCCGTGGAATTGGCCGCGCTGCGCGCCAACCACGACGGCTCCGGGCCGGCTGGGCCCAGGGTGCACAGGCGCTGGACGGACGGCCCACGGCTGGCGCGGGCTGCGCGGCCCAACAAGCGGCGGGCACAGCAGCAGCAGACGGCGCCGGCAGGGGACCCGCAGCCGCAGCTGCAGCGGCGCCCCCGGCGACCGTGGGCGGTCGGCCAGGGTTTGCCCCAGCGCGGTGCCGCCGAGGCCGCCCGCGCCCTCTTCGGGGGCGGCGCGTGGGCGCCGCACTCGGCGTCGCAGGGCCCCGGGTGGGTCGCGTGCCTCTGCTGCGGCAGCGCAGCCCCGCACTGGCGGGCACTGGCGGCTCGGCCCTGCCCGGGGTGGGCCAGCACGTTGCCGCCTCGGGCAGCGGCGCTCCTGCTGGTGCCCGCGGTGCGAGCGGGAGGCAGCGAGGCGGGCTGGCGCGCGGCGCTGCGCAGGCGGCTGGAGGTTCGGCCGGGGCCGCCGGACTAGGCAGATGCGGCGCAGCCCAGGGGCTGGCTGCCGGCAGTTTCACCCTCCCCCCTCTCCTCCTCTCCTCCTTGCGTTTCGCCACGGGGCCCGCTTGCGCTTGTAAAAAAAAAAAGTGTATGCGTTTCGCTTGTTTGGCGCCGCCGGCTCCTCTCTAATAAGAGCTTCATGATCGCCAAGGTATAGCAGACATGACACTCGAACGCCCCAAGGCGAGGCCGCCTGGCGGGGTGGACACTTGCCTGTTCGCGCCCAGATTGTGGAAGTGACTCAAGCGAAATACTGGTGTGGGCCACCCCCGACTCCTCTCCTTCCCGAGCCCCACGATCGTCGCGATGACCTGGGCACCCCAGGTGGGAGCCGCCACGGAGGGGGTACACTTGCCCCTTCACGCCCAGCGAAATGCTGGTTCGGGCACCGCCGACTCCTCTCTTCTCAGGGGCCCCGAAATCGCCCCAAGCTGGCAGGCATCACAACTTGACGCTCCCAAGGGGGAGCCGCCAGGAAGCGCCCACTGGCCACAGGCGAAGACTCCCGCACTCAGACGCTCCCAGCGGGAAGGGGCAGACAGCGGCATATTGAAAGAGTATCGCGGGCTCGCCTGCTCGGCCAGCAGAATGCCCAGAAGGCCCAAAAGGCCTCACATACCAGGCCAAGACGACCCACGAGGCCCCTCGAGCGCCCCACGACGGCACCACGAGGACCCCCAAAACCCTAAAAGGCCGCGAAGTCGACCAGAGATGCCCACTGACTGGCCCAAGACAGCCCCAAAGACCCCAGATGCCCCAAGAGGGCCCCAGGGAGCCCCAAAAAGGCTTTAAGACGCTCCAAGAAGACCGCAAGACTGCCTAATACGCCCCCAAGACGGCCCCAAACATCTTCAAGAAGGCTTGATGAAAAAACAAGAGAGGCCCCCAAGAGGCATCCCGAGAGCGCCAAGAGGAACCCCAAGTGAGCCTGCAGAGGCGGAAAACATGGATCACCCTTTCGATTTTGAACACTTTTCACGTTTTTCTCCCCAGGACGGCCAAAGAGGCCCCACATACCGGCCCAAGACGGCCCAAGCCCCGAGACGGCCCATAAGGACCCTGAGACGGCCCAAGAAACTCTGAAAACGGCCCAAGATGCCGCCCCAAAAAGCAGCAAGAGAAACCCAAGACGGGAAATCGAATGGGCACTGGGAGCCCTCCCCCCAAGATAGGCCCCGAATCGCCGAAAGGGAACAGCAAATCAGTTGGCGAGCGAAAAAACCAAGGGCGGCAGTCTCAGCAGAGCAGAGCGGCACACAACGTCCCCCCCCAGAAGGCCGGACAGCCCAAGAGCGACTCAACGCGGCACAGGAGGCCCCCCCCCCAGAGGCCTTCAGATGCCTCCCAGACACCTCCGAGAACCTCCCCGAAGCCCCTGAGAGAAAACCGGGGAGGCCTTCAAGAGCCTCCTCAGAGGCCCTTGTAGGGCATCTTAGATGGGGTCCGAGCAGACGGGTCGGAGGATCGCGCCGCATTGCCGATGCATCGCCGATGCATCGTCGGTGCATCTTCGATGCACTGGCGACGTCGGTGATGTATCGGCGACATCGGCGTGGAGAAAGTCGTGCTGCACATCGAGCCACATCGCCGATTCATCGGTGATGCGGCAGCGATCCCCGACCCCATCTACTCCAACCCATCTGGGAGGCTTAAACTGAAAGGACTCCGCGGAGTCTCCGAGAGCCCCCTGAGAGGCCCTCGGGAAGCTCACCGGAGAGTCCCTCTTGGACAGTCTTGAGGCCTCTTCGGGGCGCAGGCTCTCGGCGCAGGCTCTCGGCGCAGGCCTCCCAGATAGGGGTCCGAGCCCGAGCAGACGGGGTTGGAGGATCGCGACGCATCGCCAAATCGTCGGTGATGCAGCGGCAACGTCCGCGGAATGCGACGTCGGCGTGGAGAAAATCGGGCTCCACATCGAGCCGCATCGGTGATGAATCGGCGATCTGGCGCGATCCTCCGACCCGTCTGCTCGGACCCCATCTGGGAGGCCCAGGCACGAGGAGCCCGTGAGCACTGCCGGGCCGCCGGGCCGATCTGCCGCGCTGGACCGCCCCGCGGGTCGGCCCGGCAGAGCGGCCCGGCAGACCAGCACGGCAGCCCAGACCCTGCACAGTCACGCACACCCGAGGCTTCCAGGCCGCCAGGAAGCCCCGCAACGCACGGTCTTCACGCGCTCCAGACATGCGCCCCGCGAGGCGAGGGGAATCACTTCCTGTAGACTCACCTTTGCAGTCCATGTACCGACTCGTAACCAGGCTGCTCGACAACCTCATGCATCGTGGTGGTCATCGTTCGACCCTGGCCATCATTAATGAGGAGATCCTTCGGACCACATACTGGCTTGCTGCCGTCTTCATGATGTGGCGCCTGCGCTTCATCATTGACCTTGTCTATGCCCATTGCTTCTGACAGCGCTGCATTATCTATTGCAGCCCCTGCTGCTTTTTGTGCCATGGTGCCGTTGTTGTTGATGACTGCCATTCGCTAGTTATTTGTTTAGATGTTCAACGACGGCAAAGGAGTTGTGATAACTCCGTGCGTCTCAACACATCCATCGATAATTTGAAATATATTGCAGACTCCAATGACTGTTGAACCTTCTGGGCGGAAGGTCCGAGGGAAAGAGAGCGTGGGCTGTGAGACGCTCGGCGCATCTGCCACGAGACCAGAACGGCCAGCCACGAGATGATGAACAGGCTTTGCGGGGGGCGGAGCAAAGCGGGCGGCGACGCGGACAATAAGGAGGGCGACGTGCCTGGGCACTAGCATACCGCAGTATTGGCAAAGGCTTCTCGCGCTGTGGCCGAGGGTCGACCAGGAGAATGCGCAGCGAAGCCGACGGGGCGAACTGGCCCCACCCTGACACAAAGGAAGAGGAGAAGCAGCAGTAGCAGACGCAGCGTGCACTGTGAGGGTATTCGACAGACATGCACAAGAAATATAAAGAAACAGCGACGACAGCAAAAATGGCTGCGTGGCTCCATATCCACCACAACGCACCGACCTGAGAGCTGACCTGGATCGCGCTTCCGCACTACGTCTCCACCTCCCTCCTCCTCCTCCAGTCCCGAAGAGCGGATGCGAGGGCCAGGCGCAAGCTGGCTCACATGGTGCCGCATCCGCAGCCCTGGTCCCTGGGCACCGCGGCGAGCCGCTGGATGAGCTCGCGAGCGTCTGGACGATCTCCGGGCTCCTCGGCCCAAGCGTCCCTCATGACGGGGCCAAGGAACGGGTGCGCGTCGGCCACCTGTGGCCTCGGCTGCTTGTTCTTTCCGTACTCTTCCAGGATCAGCGTGGGGTTCTTATTGCGCTCCCAGAAAGGATCGCGCCCCGAACTGATGAAGTACATGATGAGCGCAAACGAGTAGATGTCGGCCTTCAGGTCGTACTGACCACTGCGCACGACCTCAGGGGCCATGTAGTGGTGGCTGCCCACGCCCATCGTGTGGGCCCTCTTGACCTTGCATCCCACTGGTGCAATCATCTTGCTGATGCCGAAATCATTGATTGTGATCTCGAGCAGCTTGCTCAAGAGGAGGTTCAGGGGCTTGAGGTCCCTGTGGATGATCGGCGTCTTGCAGCTGTGCAGGAAGCAGAGGCCTCGCGCAACAGCGCTGCACCGTTTGATCTGCTGCCCGATCGCGGCGTGCCAGTTCGGAGTCTGGTGTTCCTTACGCATGCCCATGTAGTAGGACTCCAGGTCCCCTCCTTCCATGTTTTCGGTGATGAGCATAATAGGCGTATCGCTCACCACTGCCCCCAGAAACATCATCAAGTCGGGATTGTGGATGTCCTGGGTCAGACGATCACTATCCTCGCCATGCGCGGACTCCAAGACGGATTTGGCAACCACGTCGGTGCCTCTCCAGACGGCGCGGTAGACGCAGCTCTTCAGCGTTTCGGAGAGCACCTCCCCGATCTCCACCTCTTCCTTGGAGATCAGGCAACCGTCCGAGCTCAGGTGCTCTGCGAGGCGCGACCTCGAAATTTGCCTCATGTCCGCGCCCGCTTTCATCAGCAAACTGATCGTTTCTTCGGGGCTGCCTCGGATCGTAGCGAACTCCAGCGGCGCGATGCCGTCGGAATCCACTACGTCGGCCGGGCCGAAGCCCTACGGCCGAGCAGAAACTCGACGAGCTGTGTCCTGGCAGTCGGCTGCGCAACCGCGTAGTGCAGGGCGGTGCGACCGCCGGTGTCCGCCGCGTCGATGTCCAGACCCAGCTCCAGCATGGCCTTCACATCCTCCAGGTCGCCCCGGGAGGGCGCGTCGCACATGCGCGCCGCCGCCGCCAGCTGCGCGAAGGCCTCGTCATTCCCGACTCGCTCGGCCACCTTGGTCACCTTGAGCGTGCCCGCCGCGCCTTCCTGGCTCGCCCTCCTCGGCCACATTGAGCTGCCCGCGCTGGGATCCTTGAGCGTCGCGAGCCTCTGATGGCGCGTTGAAGCAAGATGGCTTGAGCCAAAATGGCTACGGATGTCATGCGCTAGTTCATGTTCGACCATGTGTTGGGCCTGTCCCCCCCGCCCAGGCCATGATTTGATGTCGGCTGAGTTACACACCATCCGAGGGGCTGGCACCTCAGCTTTCCAACCCCAAGGCCGTCCGGACCCAAGAGATCAGTAAAGGCCATGGAATACACCAAGGCGGCAGCACGTAAATGCCAAGATGTTGCCATGGTCGTCAGCCACAGACCGCAGCAGAGGGCAATGCCAGGAAAAGAGAAAAAGGGTTTCGACCGCTTTGACTCTAAAATGGCTGAAGCAGACAGGCTACAAAATTAATGTCGCACGTGCTCGAAGAAGAATAAGAAGCAGACACAATTACATCAACACAAACGTTCGATGGTCCTGGTGGACTTCTTGGATCTGCGCCGGACCCGCCTCCCTGTCGCGCGGAGCGCGCCAGGGGCGGCGCCGCAGGCGCTGCCAGGGTAGCCTAGCGCAGATCCAAGAAATCTGCGCGTACCTCCTAACATATGCCGTTTTTCCCAAAACAGTGGTTGCACTTGGGCTGTCATACTTCTCCTCTTAAAGAACTGGTCCTGTTTGCCGCTCCGGTGGCTATGTTGTCGCCATCGTCGCCCGTCGCCGCCTCGCCGCCACCCGTCGTCTGGGCCTGTCTGCCGCTCTATCGGCTATGTTGTCGCCGTCGCCGCCCCGTCGCCACCTCGTCGCCGCCCGTCGTCTGGGCCTGTCCGCCGCTCTGTCGGTTGTGCTGTCGCCGTCGCCGCCCCGTCGCCGCCGTCGCTCCTCGGCGCCGCTGTTAGGTTGCACAACATATATTCGCCTTTCTAGAAACAGAATAAACTCGACCCCCCCTGGAATTATCGACACCCCTGTCCGTATTGCAATGTACGTATGATTCTGCCCACCGTTCATCCGAAATATGAACTCATACCATCCCAGTCAGGCCAGAGTATCGACCCCCCCGCCATCCTCTGCAAAAAAAACAAACGATGCGCGCGCACTCGCTCATCAAACATCATAAACTTCCAATAACCCCTTGCAAAGGACGGGACGAAGTGCACACGTGTGCGTGAGCCTTGGTCTGCCGCGCGAGGGCGCGGGCGCCGTCGATTCGGCCGCGCTGCAGCGCGGCAGCTTCGGTGCTGCAGCGGGAGCTGCTACCAGAAGGGAGGCTCAGCAAGGAGCGGGGCCACGAAGCGTGCGAGGGTGTGCAGAAACGGGGGGGCAGAGGAAGAAGGAGGGGTCAGCGGGAGGTGAGGTGAGACGCGCGGCGCTGCTGTTCAAGACGAGGACCCAACTCCACACAAGATGGTTGCGGACATGGGAACCTCTGGGGGCTGCTTGGGGCAAGATTGCCGCCAACCATTGCCCTCAACGACCGGGCCCTGACTTGGAGTGCTTTGGGGGAACGCCTTGGAGCCATTTCTGCTTCCATGAGTCGGGGCGCATGTCATCCCCTACACTATTAGACGCGCTGGTTACAGCGCGGCCCGCATCCTGGTCCGTGGACCGGGCACGATCAATGTCAAAGCCTGCCCTCCATGAGATCCCGATCGCACGGTAACCCTTCCCCCTCAAAGTTGCGAATTAATCTCCTTTCGAAGCTTTCTGCCATACTCCGGTCGAGGACCCCCTGGCATGAAAAAAACTTGGCGCCTTTGGCCAAGACGTGAGGTCTTTGGGCGTGGATTCGCTACGCCGCCTCTGAGACTCGCCTGTACGCGGGCTCCAGGAAGTCCCCGCGCCGTGGCAAACATCGCGGCGGGAGGCGGTCTTCGCCGCGCCTGGCCTGGCTGGTGGGGCCGTCGAAAGATCAGCAAGGTATCTGGGCCTCTGGGTGCCGACTCCGGTCGGGCGTCACTTCTGCGAGTCGCCCGAGTCTGTGGCGATGCCAGGAGGTCAGGGCGGCTTGTAGGCGGACAGCGGCCTCTCAGGCCGTCTCGTTCGTGGGGTGTGCGCCCGTGCGCGGGCAGCATCCCTTCAGACCGCTCTCCCTGGGGCAGCACTGGGAGCTCGGGCCGCAGCACATCTTCTCGCCTGTCGGGCTCTCACAGCATGACGACATGGGGCCACAGATGTTATTGCCGCAGCAGGTGCTTTTCGGGCTTGCGCATATACCTGTGCCACAGCAGGTCGCCCCTGGCGCGCAGACGATGTTGCCGCAGCAGACAGATTGGGGCGTGCCGCAGAGCCGGTCCTTGCAGCAGATCGAGCCGCCCGCGCACTTCATGGCGCCGCACGACGTCACGTTGTTGAGGCTCGCTGCTATCGGGCAGCACCCGGACAGGCCACTCTCTGGGGGGCAGCACTGAAAGCCGTCCGAGCAACACATGCTCGAGCCGTTGATGCCGCTGGGGCAGCAGGTAGAACCGGGCGAGCAGACACCAGTGTCGCCACAGCAGGTGGATCCGGGCGCGGCGCACACGTTCTTGCCACAGCAGGTCGACCCCGGGGAGCAGATGGAGCTGCCGCAGCAGACGGACCCCGGCGAGCCGCATAACCCGCCCGAGGTGTTGGGGCAGCAGGTGGCGCCCCTGTAGCAGACGCTGTTCCCGCACTTCGAGTCGGGCTGGTCGTCCGTTCCGACCATGCCACCTGTTCCGTCACCACTCGTGTTCCACTCGTCTGCCCCGTCCAGCTCCTGCAGGGCGATCGCCTGGGCGTCGGCCCCGACGGTCTTGAGCGACCCCACGCGCTGCCGCTGGCCGAGGCCGCTGCCGTCCTCCGACGTCGAATAGACTGCCGCCGCTGCCACCAGTGCCAGAACCAGAGCCGCCGCTCCGACCGGCAGGGCGAGCTTGCGGCGCTGGCCCAGCTCTGCGTCCCCCCCCTCATCGGACGAGGCGGCACAGATCGCCCGGCTCTCCTGCGCGGCCGGCAGGAGCTGGGGCATAGCGAGCGCAGCAGCGGCGGGCGCTCACAGGCAGTGGCAGGCGGGTGCGGGCGCCTCCGCGCGGCAGGCCCCTTCGCTCGAGCACAGACGGCTTGAGCCAAAATGGCTACGGAGCGCCTTGGAGCCGTCTTGGGCCCTCTTGGGACCGTCTGAGGGACTCTTCGGCCATCTTGGCGCTCTCTTGGGCTGAAGCCGTTTCGGCCAGTATTGGGGAGATACTGGCCTCGTGGGTGATCGCGGACGCCCAGAAGACCCAAGAGGCGGCCATCCCAAACTCATACGCAGACTGTTTAGGAAGATCAGTGACTTTTGAAAATTGATGGCTTCTTGGGGGTCTGCTTTAGATCGTCTTAAAACGTCTCGAGAGTTCTTCTTGGGCCGCGTGGAGCTCTCATGTGGCCGTTTGGGAGACCCGCTGACCGCGTTGGCTCGTCTTCGAAGCCTGGCAAGGGCGTTCAGGCGGAGGTGTGTGATGGGGGGGCCAACGTCCCTGGAGGCCTGGTTTCACGACAGGGGGGTCTGGCGACACAAATACAATCATAATCATCGGACGCACACACACATACATGTAGTTGCAGATCACGCTTATCAACATGCACACGCACATGTACCAATGCGCTTGTCCAGACACATCCGCACGTCTGCGTGTGCACGTGTATATATTGTATAGATATGTGTGTGTATCTATAAATGTGTGGAATGTAAAGTATAAGCGCATGGCCGCACGTACTACGACTGCGCGGTGACATTCTAGTCCACAGCAATACAGTGCCCTGGGCCTGTCGGGGTCGGCCCTCGGACCCGCTGGAACAGCGAGCGGTCCAGATGCAAGCCACATGCGCTGGAGACGGCTCCGCGTTGCCTAGTTCCGCCTCCTCCTCCTCCCCGCTCCCCTCCTCCTCCGCCTCCGCCTCCTCGTCCTCCTCGTCCTCCTCCTCCTCCTCCTCCTCCGCCTCCTCCTCCTCCTTCTCCTCCTCCAGCCGCGGCCTCTCGAGTCGGCCCGCAGGCTGGGACTGCTCTTTGTGCTGCAGCCACCAGGCGCAGAGCTCTGCAGCAGATCCTCCCCCGTGTTTAATCCTTCCGTCCACTGGCAGCTACAATCGGGGATCTCCTGACCCGGGTCAATCCAGACCCGGTCAGCCAGGCCTTGCAGAATCCTGCGAGATCCTGCGCCCAAACCCGGGTCGATGCGAAGGATCCTGCAGGATCCTGCAAGATCCTGCACCCAAACCCGGGTCAATGCGACCCTGGCCCTGCAGGATCCTGCAGGATCGGGCGCTCTGGCTGACCCTCGTTTGCATTGACCCCCGTCTCAAGGCTCCCGATACAAGGACCTGAGCTTGCCTCCGGCACACCCCGAAGAGCTTCGCGCTCGGAGGGCGCTCTGGCCGTCCGCAGGCCTCCCCCCCCTTTTCATCTCGGCCTTCCTTGCGGGCTCTGTGTGCCTCACTCGCTCCGCAGAAGCCCTGCCGCAGCCACGACCGCAACTTGGATCCGGGGGCCGCCGATCAACAGAGTTCGACCCTGTCGTAGCTCCCCGTCCCAAGGTCGGCCCCGATACCCCTGCCAGAACCCGGAGTTTGAACATGCACGCAGCAAGCGATGAGTGCGACTGCAAATGCGGTCAGGAGCTTTGGCTTAGCGTGCCGTGGCGGCGGCGCTGGCGACACGGTATGCCTTGCAAGCGGATGGCGTGTCGCTCCGCTTCGCGGGGCGGGTGGCTGGGAAAGGCTTGGGACGTCGACGCACGGCGACTGGGGCGCGATCGGCGTGCCGCACCGAAGCGTGGCAACCCAGAGTGGGCGGCGCGACGCGCTAAGCAAACGTTCCCCACCGTAACTCTCTGTCTCTGTCCTCTCCCCCCCCTCACTCCAACCCATCTACCTCATCCTCCTGTCTAGGAGCGCGCGCCGCACGGGCCCTCATGGTCGGGCCTCATACCCCTTCTGGACCTCAGGGTTAGAAGCCGCACTTGGCAGAACTGCACGTCTGTATCGTTCATCCCCCTCCTCCTCCTCATCATCATCAACAACAGCATCATCATCATCAGCATTATCATATCCTCGTCATCCTCATCATCCACATCATCCTCATCATCCTCATCAATCCCATCATACTCATCGTCCTCATCCTCCGTCGTGGGCCCCTGTTCCCCATTTCTCACATTTCGATTGGACACAGCTGCAAACTGGGTGTCGACTTCTTGGGGCCTGTTATGGGGATGACTGGTGCTGTCTCGGGGGCTGTCGTGGAGACGTTTTAGGGGGCCGCTTGGGCTGTCTTGGGGCCATCTGCGACCCACGTGGGTAACTCCGATAGCAACGCTTGACCCACGTTGTGCCGAGAAGCGGAGACAGGGAAATGCAATTGTGAACCTTTTCTGAAATGTTATGCTCCTGGACTCACGGAAGCCTACCAGAAGGTTGTGATGAGCGTTTTGGGAGCCTCTTGGGGCCTTAAGCTGTGGCGTGGTCCAGCGGCGTATGGGTCCGCCTGGGGCCATCCTGGGGCACGATCGTGGGGGAGGGTGGCACCGCCATGTGGAACGCGCACACACACACACGTGTACATAAAAATGCAGCCTTAGTGCCAAGAAGATGTATGAGCACATGTAATAGAAAGTATGGAAAGCGCCGCAACATGTACACGTGCGTGTACACACACACACACATACTCGTATGGCCGGCTTCCGACGGCGGAGCTGGCCATCGTTGTACCACCGCTGGCTTCCACCGAGGAAGCGGCACTAATGTGTCTGAACCGCTCGAAGAGGATGTCCCTTCTGAAACGCCCCGCGTCTATACATGCACATGCATAGATACATGATACACCAGGAGGGCCGAAGAGGCCCCAAAGATGGCACCCAAGAGAGGCCCAAAAGAGGGAATTCGAAATGACATGTGGAGCCTCCCGCCCCGAGACGGCCTCCGAGATGGCCAGGACGCCCACAAAAGGCCTCCAAGAGCAGGGGGCGCCACAAGGCGGGCAAGACGGCAGGGGGGTCCTGGGTCAGATTACCGCCCCACCCGGGGTCCCAGCGGCCCTCCCTCCCCCCCCCCCGGTCCCCCATGTGGACAGGGAGGACAGGCGGGGGTCCTCTGCGGGGGGGGGGAGTCCTGGATAGAGAGAGATCCCAGAGGAGGTCCCACCTGTAGTGGGGGCCACGAGACATGAGAGGCATCTGGTCCGCACAACCCAGGCACGTTGGCGGGTGTGGCCGAAGGCCATGAGATCCGCCGCCCCCTGTGGCGTGCCACAGGGGTGCACGGCGTGCCAGATGTTAGGTAGTTGCTGGATCTTTTTACAGGTTCCCAAAGGTCTTCGGTCCAACCCGCCGGCCACCTGGAAGGACGCGGAATGACGCTTAAGGAAGGAAAAACCATAGAACCCGCCGCCACGAGAACCCGTCACCTCCCAGGTCGTCGGTGTTCGCGCTCCAAGCAGCCCTAATAAGGCCTCCAAGACGGCCAAGACGGTTTCAAGACGGCTACGATGGCCACGAGAGAGCCCAAGATAGCCCTAAGATGTCTCCAAGACGGGCCAGGATGCCCTCAAGATGCGCCAAAACGGCCTCAAGACCGCCCAAGACGGCCCAAGATGCCCCAAAGAAGGCGCAAGAGGCCTCCAAGGTGATCTCCAGGAAGGCCCACAGAGGCCGAAATTGCTGATTGGTCTTAGGTGTTTGAAAAGATTGTGGCGTTTGCTTATTTTCTATGTTCCGACGGTCCAAAGCGGCCCTAGAGGCCACTCTGATGGCCCCAAGAGCGCCCAGGAGGCCTCAGAGATGGCCTGCTGACGGCCCGAGAGGCCCTCAAGATGGCCCAAGGAAGGCCTCAAGACGGCCCAGGAGACCTCTGGGACGCCCAAGATGGCCTACAAGACGGTCCTGAAGCGCCACAACAGGGCCCCAAATCGCCCCAGAGATGCCCACAGGACAGCTTCCGACGGCGTCAGACGAGCCAGGAACGTCCTCAGATAGCTAATGAGCCCCCCAAGGAGTCTCCCAAGTCTCCCGCGAGGCCCCCAGGAAGCTCCCAGGAAGCCCCAGTAGTGCCCCTCCTCTCCCTCCTCCTCCTCCTCCTCCTCCTCCTCCTCCTCCTCCTCCTCCTCCTCCTCCTCCTCCTCCTCCTCCCCCACGTGTTCCCCGAAGAGTTTCCACAAAGCCCGGGGGAACACATGATCCGATAGCTTGGCCGAGCTCTGGCCACAACGCTCGGCCACGTGATTAGGCGCTTCCAAAAGGCAAGGGGCGGCGGTAATTCGCCGCAGGCGTCTTCGATCCGCCGCCTTCCTTTGATTTATCAAAGGGGTGCCTGGCGTGCCAAACGTTTGATGTTGCCCTGGCCCTTTGCAAAACGTTCCCAGTGGTGTATCAGCCGATCCCGCCAGCCGCGCTGGCCCCCCTCCCAAGTGGTTTTACAACGGCTGGGGGAACACATTGTCCAACAGCTTGGCCAGGCTGCGGCCCAACGTTTGGCCGCATGGGCGATTCCAAAAGGCAGGGGGGCGCGCGGCGGTTCGCCGTAGGCTTCTTCGAGACATACGGTCGGGCACTCTTGCTTAGCGTGTCGCGGCGGCGGCCTGGCGACACGCTATGTTTTGTGAGCGGACATCGTGCCGCTCTGCTCTGCGGGGCGAGGGGGTTCGAAACGCTCGGGACGCTCACGCCTGGGGACTGGAATGCGGATAGCGTGTCGCGCCGCAGCGTGGTGGGCCAGAGCCGGCGGCGCGACACGCTAAGCCAAAATTCCGGACCGTAGTTAAGCTCAGAGGGTCTTTGATAGACCCCCCCCCAATGATGGGAAACTCTTTTCTCCGCAGGCCCATTGACGGATTAGGACCCGCAACAAAAATCAAACATCATTATTCCACCGCGGCGGCCACCGCCCAGCCCTGCGCTACAGTCGTCGACGCCAGCCGAGAGCTTTGGGGAGGGACGAGTTGCACTGCCAGCCGAGAGCTTTGGGGTGGGG